TCCATATAGGGCTTTCGACGTAGATTCGAGCAGCGTACGTATCGTTCTACATTCCGCAATCGTTAGTTGGACGAAGGGAAACGTTGTTTTTGAAATGCTCTAGTCATCGTCCGGGCCTATTTTCTTTCAAATGTCTGTTGTTCGCAGAGATACGTATACCAAGTGTATACCAGGTGTCGTCTAGATATACGGCAACGGTGGCCCGTACGCGAACTTCAAACGCGTATATCTCGATAACTAATGGTCGGATTGAAATTTGGTTCACTGTTTTTTTAATGCTCGGAAAACTGTCTTTCCGACCAGCTAGTTTTCCTCCGATTCTGACTTCTTAAGGAGGCTCGAGAGGCCAAAATAGCGGAAATGCAGATTTCGACCTAGATTTCGACCTTTGACCCAGATAAGGATTTGACCTAATTTCCCACCAACTACGCCTAGCCCCCTAACAACGTGTATGAGTAGATTTGTCCAAATATCTCTCGTTGGTGAGAACGTGTGTGAGGAGGATTTTTGCTTTTTGCACATACGAAAGCAAAAATCATAATAGGATTTGCCCATACGCGTATAGAGGGAAATGGCTCTACGGACGCTCTGAGGGCCTATAATGGTCGATTAAAGGTCGGGGAATCTAGGGAGGTAGTTGGGGAGAATGCCTGGCTCGTGCTTCGCGGATCCGTCGAGGTCAAAAAATAGTCCTTCAAAAAACAGGCCTTCCAGACGTCCATATAGGGCTTTCGACGTAGATTCGAGCAGCGTACGTATCGTTCTACATTCCGCAATCGTTAGTTGGACGAAGGGAAACGTTGTTTTTGAAATGCTCTAGTCATCGTCCGGGCCTATTTTCTTTCAAATGTCTGTTGTTCGCAGAGATACGTATACCAAGTGTATACCAGGTGTCGTCTAGATATACGGCAACGGTGGCCCGTACGCGAACTTCAAACGCGTATATCTCGATAACTAATGGTCGGATTGAAATTTGGTTCACTGTTTTTTTAATGCTCGGAAAACTGTCTTTCCGACCAGCTAGTTTTCCTCCGATTCTGACTTCTTAAGGAGGCTCGAGAGGCCAAAATAGCGGAAATGCAGATTTCGACCTAGATTTCGACCTTTGACCCAGATAAGGATTTGACCTAATTTCCCACCAACTACGCCTAGCCCCCTAACAACGTGTATGAGTAGATTTGTCCAAATATCTCTCGTTGGTGAGAACGTGTGTGAGGAGGATTTTTGCTTTTTGCACATACGAAAGCAAAAATCATAATAGGATTTGCCCATACGCGTATAGAGGGAAATGGCTCTACGGACGCTCTGAGGGCCTATAATGGTCGATTAAAGGTCGGGGAATCTAGGGAGGTAGTTGGGGAGAATGCCTGGCTCGTGCTTCGCGGATCCGTCGAGGTCAAAAAATAGTCCTTCAAAAAACAGGCCTTCCAGACGTCCATATAGGGCTTTCGACGTAGATTCGAGCAGCGTACGTATCGTTCTACATTCCGCAATCGTTAGTTGGACGAAGGGAAACGTTGTTTTTGAAATGCTCTAGTCATCGTCCGGGCCTATTTTCTTTCAAATGTCTGTTGTTCGCAGAGATACGTATACCAAGTGTATACCAGGTGTCGTCTAGATATACGGCAACGGTGGCCCGTACGCGAACTTCAAACGCGTATATCTCGATAACTAATGGTCGGATTGAAATTTGGTTCACTGTTTTTTTAATGCTCGGAAAACTGTCTTTCCGACCAGCTAGTTTTCCTCCGATTCTGACTTCTTAAGGAGGCTCGAGAGGCCAAAATAGCGGAAATGCAGATTTCGACCTAGATTTCGACCTTTGACCCAGATAAGGATTTGACCTAATTTCCCACCAACTACGCCTAGCCCCCTAACAACGTGTATGAGTAGATTTGTCCAAATATCTCTCGTTGGTGAGAACGTGTGTGAGGAGGATTTTTGCTTTTTGCACATACGAAAGCAAAAATCACTAGACATGTAAATTGAACAAGTTCAATTTAAGACTCCAGATTTCAAACTTTTTTTAAGCTGAGTAATCCAGAACTTGTAAGCTGAGTCATTCAGAATAAGCTGAGTCAGCTAGAATATAGACATTTAGACAACTTTTAAGAAGGCTATCTTCGACTCTATTAGCTTAACATGGGGATATCATCATATCGACTTTCCGAGACTTCAAACCGCTATAACTATCTAACCAGAAGTTAGATCGAAATTTGGTTTAAAGATTCTGATTCCTGAGAAAATTCTACCCTTAATTCATAACTCATACGTTAAATTTGGAGAATTTTTTGTTTGACCTACATTTCGGACACCATATCTCAAAAGTGGGTCAAAAAACTTTCTAACGGCAGAAGGCTAACACTATAAGCACACTCTGTGCTACCTGTATACAAAATTTTGAAGCAAATCCTTACAGTGTAATGTCAGAATCGCAAAAATAAGGAAAAACTATGAATTTGACCTAGATTTTGACCAAGGCATTTTTGCGTCCAAATTTTAAAGCTAGATAGCCTTCGAGGTCCCCTCCTTTTATAGGCTTTCAGAATATTAACCTGTACTCAGTCTATATCTGGTATTTTGAACTTCAAAAAATCCTTTTTCTCATTGACATAACATGGGGCACCAAATTTAGCGATTTTTGAGCTTTCAAAACGCCATAACTTTCGAACCGGTAGTCGGATCGAAATTTGGTTTGCAGATTCAGATTCCTGACAAAATTCGTCCCCTAATTCATATCTCATACGTTAAATTTGGAAATTTTTTATTTTGACCTTCTTTTTGGACACGCCATAACTTCCGACCCGGAAGTCGGATCGAAATTTGGTTTGCAGATTCGGATTCCTGAGAAAATTCTACCCTTAATTCATAACTCATACGTTGAATCTGGAGAACTTTTTATTTTGACCTACTTTTCGGACACCATATCTCAAAAGTGGGTCAAAATACTTTCTGACGGCAAAAGGCTAACACTATTAGCACACTCTTTGCTACCTGTATACAAAATTTTGAAGTAAATTATTAAAGTGTAGTGTCAGAATCGTAAAAATAAGGAAAAACTATGAATTTGACCTAGATTTTGACCTAAGCATTTTGGTGTCCAAATTTTGAAGCTATGTAGCTTTTGAGGTCCCCTTCTTTTATAAGCATTCATTATGTTAAGCTGTACCCAGTCTATATCTGGTATATTACACTTCGAAAAAGTCTTTTTTCCCATTGACTTAACATAGGCACCAAATTTAGCGATTTTTGAGCTTTCAAAACGCCATAACTTCCGAACCGGAAGTCTGATCCAAATTTGATTTGCAGATTCGGATTCCTGAGATCATTCTACACTTAATTCATAACTCACATGTTGAATTTGGAAAACTTTTTGTTTTGACCTACTTTCCGGACGCCATATCTCAAAATCGGTAAAAGTAATCAAAATTCTGATGTCATATCTTTGATTCGCCTTTTTCTAAGCTACACGATGAAAAAAAGATGAAGGAGTTACGAAGAATATTGACGAAGATATGATGAAGAATGTTGAAAATGTAAGATTTGACCTAGTTCTTGACCTTTGACCTAGATAAAAATTTGACCTAATTTCCCAGAAAGCCGGATACAGTCTTTAGTTAACCATGTAAGTTGGATTAAGTAAGATGTTATAGTTGGAGAGAAAATCTGTTAGGAGGAAGAAAGAAAAAAGAAGAAGAATAATAAAAAGAAAACAGGCAAAAACAATAGACTCCAGATTTTCAATCTGGAGTCTAATAATAATAATAAAGAAAACAGGCAAAAACAATAGACTCCAGATTTTCAATCTGGAGTCTAATAAAGAAAACAGGCAAAAACAATAGACTCCAGATTTTCAATCTGGAGTCTAATAATGTCTTACCCGTCTTCCCCATCCAGTCCTAGTTGATAATTAGAGACAAAATGATGTATTACATATAATAATGTCTTACCCGTCTTCCCCATCCAGTCCTAGTTGATTACAAGAGACAAAATGATGTATTACATATAATAATGTCTTACCCGTCTTCCCCATCCAGTCCTAGTTGATTACAAGAGACAAAATGATGTATTACATATAATAATGTCTTACCCGTCTTCCCCATCCAGTCCTAGTTGGTTACAAGAGACAAAATGATGTATTACATATAATAATGTCTTACCCGTCTTCCCCATCCAGTCCTAGTTGATTACAAGAGACAAAATGATGTATTACATATAATAATGTCTTACCCGTCTTCCCCATCCAGTCCTAGTTGATTACAAGAGACAAAATGATGTATTACATATAATAATGTCTTACCCGTCTTCCCCATCCAGTCCTAGTTGATTACAAGAGACAAAATGATGTATTACATATAATAATGTCTTACCCGTCTTCCCCATCCAGTCCTAGTTGGTTACAAGAGACAAAATGATGTATTTCATATAATAATGTCTTACCCGTCTTCCCCATCCAGTCCTAGTTGGTTACAAGAGACAAAATGATGTATTTCATATAATAATGTCTTACCCGTCTTCCCCATCCAGTCCTAGTTGATTACAAGAGACAAAATGATGTATTTCATATAATAATGTCTTACCCGTCTTCCCCATCCAGTCCTAGTTGGTTACAAGAGACAAAATGATGTATTACATATAATAATGTCTTACCCGTCTTCCCCATCCAGTCCTAGTTGGTTACAAGAGACAAAATGATGTATTTCATATAATAATGTCTTACCCGTCTTCCCCATCCAGTCCTAGTTGGTTACAAGAGACAAAATGATGTATTTCATATAATAATGTCTTACCCGTCTTCCCCATCCAGTCCTAGTTGGTTACAAGAGACAAAATGATGTATTTCATATAATAATGTCTTACCCGTCTTCCCCATCCAGTCCTAGTTGATTACAAGAGACAAAATGATGTATTTCATATAATAATGTCTTACCCGTCTTCCCCATCCAGTCCTAGTTGGTTACAAGAGACAAAATGATGTATTTCATATAATAATGTCTTACCCCTCTTCCCCATCCAGTCCTAGTTGGTTACATGCTTGAGTGGAGAGTAACCTTGGATGATCACAGATCTTCTTCAACACATTTAGAGCAACCAGAGGGGATTTACTGGACATCAACATCTACAAAACAGAAAATGCTATTAGTAATACAATTATTTTATTTCATTTTTCTGTTAAGTAACCTACAAATCTCTCTCGAATGGTATCCCACAAAGCCACAAGCCGAAGCAAGGACTATCAATTCCAAAACTAGTAAACAGTAACTGATATTTTCTCTGTCTCACATATTTGATGTGTTTGATTGGTGCAAATCACTAATCTTTCTTTCATGTCATATGACATGAGGGTTTGCCCATAACAAACCAGAACAACGGCAACGCCAAAGCGTAGCGAATCCCATCGAACAGAAATGGCTGGCATTTTTACAAACGAAATATATAGCAAATATCATGAAATAACACACATAAGAAAGGCCACCATTTTCAAAATGGTTGCTCACTAGCCAAGTTGTCATCAGAAGAAGTAATACGCTTTTTTTTTAGTATTCACATACCAAATATGCACAAAATCGCTTCTTTACTTTTCAAGTAAAATACTTTAAAATGGTGGCCATTTTTCAAAAGTGTCATTAGACAGTGTGCCTTGCTTATAGTTATTCACATACCAAATATGAACAAAATCGCTCCACCACTTTTCAAGTTACAGTAAAATATGTTAAAATGGCGGCCATTTTTTAAAATGGCCACCTTCTACCAAAAGTGTTATTAGACAGTGTGCCATGCTTATATTATTCACATACCAAATATGAACAAAATCGCTCCACTACTTTTCGAGTTATAGTAAAATATGTTAAAATGGCAGCCATTTTTCAAAATGGCTGCCTCCTACCAAAAGTGTCATTAGACAGTGAGCCATGCTTATGGTTTTCTCATACCAAATATGAACAAAATCGCTCCACTACTTCTTGAGTTACAGCAAAAATCGTAAAATAACGAGTAAAGGCCGCCATTTTTCAAGATGGCTTCCATGTGCTTCTTTAATATCTACATTTCTAGCTTTATCAATGTCCTATATCATTATTTTACATTTAAAACATAATGCTATTACAGTTTTACATATTGCAACTAAATTACTGTAAAATCGGCACTAAAATGGACGCCATTTTAAATGAGCGGCCATTTTGAAAATTGGCTTTCGAGCAGAACTTCTACCCCCATAGGGTGTATGTGTACAAAATATGAACAAAATCGGGCCAACGGTATTTGAGTTATTGCCTGGACGGACGTACGTACGTACGTACGTACGTACGGACGGACGGACGGACGTACGTACGGACGGACGTATGTACGGACGGACGTACGGACGGACGGAGGCGTTCCCTATATCCCTCCGAACTTCGTTCGATGGGATAATTATACTATATAATGATCTCATATCTATAAACAGTGTACATCACAAGGATTTAGAATGTCATTTATGGACCAGTTGCATTAGTACTCTGAGTTTCACATATCTTGTAATTTAAACTTTGTATTTCTCCTGGCTATCAAAAACACAGCCTTTTACATCTATTTTGGTGTTTTTCAAAATAAATCATGTCTGTTATAATGTATACAGGGTGCACCCTAAGGACTTTCAAAGTTGATATATGGACCTGTTGTTTTTTCCTATACTGATAGAACAACTGCCCTCTGGTTCAGTATTTATCACACACCCTGCACACCGGACCAGATTGTGACATATTTTACTGCGAACTATGATTTTGCGCCACCTATAGCGCTGACGCCATATTGGATTCAAAGCGGTCTTAATACCTATCATCAAACTCCAGTTAATTCGCATTGAAATCATTTAGCTATGCATTTGAAGTTTTTTACCAGTTGTGCACAACATATTGATTGAGTTATATAATAATTTTCATCCTCCTCTCTCATAAAGTTTTGAAGTTCTAAGAGAATTAGTTTGAGCTGTCAACTGTCAACAATTCTACCACAAAAAATCATTGTTTCAAAAAAGGTCTAACGGCGCGAAATACCCAAATATCAAAATCTGAAATCATATGATTGTGTGTCACTGCGGTGTTTATTTGGCCTCCAAATTTGAAAAAGATTGTTAAAGAAATGAGAATTTTGAAACAAGAAAAGTGTTCCGCATTGGATTCTATGCTAATAACGGCTCTTTGGAACAATTCAAAAACGAGACTTACGCCTGTACATTGGCGCCTCAAATTTGAAGAACAGTTTCACTCATTATACCTCATTTGGGCCTGCCGTGCTGTATGTAAAATTTCCGAAATGGCTACCTGTCATGAAATCAATGTTACCTCTTGAACTCTCTCTGTAGATATAAAGTCTGTGTAGATTTGTTGTTGGGGTTCAGAGAGGTATACCCAGCATATCAAATCATTCTTCCTTGTTAACTCAGGCATCCTGTTATAAAGAACATGACATGTGACGTCACAAAAGCTAGAACAATTGATTTACAGGTCTATATTGGAATACGTTGAACGCTAAATTCATAAATGCAAATAGTTGTGTTTCTTGTCTGTTTATCATATTAGAATCGCAACAAAAGCCTCGATTTTATAATTTATGTCAAATATATGACCTCAAATTTTATTCTGGCCATTGCCAAAGATCTCAATCGCTATGTGATTTCGGTCTTTTAACAATGAACAGAATAAAATTTTCGGTCATATATTACGCCATAAATCTCTCAATTCCTTAACTAACATAGAAACCATTTGTTACATAAATAGGATACCAAAAGTTGATCACAGAAATGTGGCTGTAGCGGTATGTCATCATTTCTTGGAGTAATAACATATTATGCATCTACCATTAGCCCATTAATCATTCCATTTCATTGTTTCCTTTTAATGTAGATAATTGTCAAATATACTTTGTATTCTTAGGGTAAGAACAATTATTTGAAGTTTTGCAATTTTGATGTAGAGAGTGAACAATGGTGAAAATGAACAAGAAAACTATAATCAGATCATTTTAATGATTGACAGCGATTATTACTCCTGAGAATAAAGTAGAGCTAATTGAAAGAATATAATCATATCTTACTCTAAGATCTTATCATCAGTTGGTACAGCTTCTTTGTTCTTCTCTCGTTTCTTTGCCTGTTCCTTAACCTCCATCTTGGTGCGCCTGAGAAAGAATGGTGCAATAATCTGCCTGAGACTCTCCGCCATTTCCTCACCAAGGCGCTTCTCTCCAACAGTTGAACAGCTTTCTCTGGCCTAAAAATAAAGTTTTCTAAAATCAACCAATTTATTGTAATTAAGATACTATATTGCTAATGCCATTTACTCCTGTGCTCCCAAGCAAAATTTTGATGGCTCATTTCATTTGTGGGGATAAAAAACTGATATTCACATGTAGATTTAGTACAGGAAGGCAATGTTGTCCTGATGTAGGTAAATGCTTGCAAAATGCCTATGCCAAGCAGCTTGCAATTACGCACACTGCCTCAAATTGACTATCTTTCTGACATTTCAATCCAAGTAAGAACATAGATTTGGACACTTACCCTTGTAATTGGATGTTCATACTCCATGGCAAATGTCCTTTGTGTTCCCAGTAGTCTTCCATGTTGAACAAAATCAAACAGCGCCCACAACTCCTGGATATTCAATAAACAATACTTAGATTCAAATAATACACTCATGATACAATGTAAAATATAAACAATACTTAGATTCAAATAATACACTCATGATACAATGTAAAATATAAACAATACTTAGATTCAAATAATACACTCATGATACAATGTAAAATATAAACAATACTTAGATTCAAATAATACACTCATGATACAATGTAAAATATAAACAATACTTAGATTCAAATAATACACTCATGATACAATGTAAAATATAAACAATACTTAGATTCAAATAATACACTCATGATACAATGTAAAATATAAACAATACTTAGATTCAAATAATACACTCATGATACAATGTAAAATATAAACAATACTTAGATTCAAATAATACACTCATGATACAATGTAAAACATAACTCACATTTTAGCATTATTTCACATTGGATTCTAAATAAATTGCCATATGATCACAGTTTGAGATTTCTTTAAAAATATGAACTAAAGATCAAGTACAGATAATACTATTTCTTAACATTTTATATGTTTAACACAGATACCTTGCTTAAAATGAAACAAAATCTTACACATCCATACAGGAAATAATAATGCAGTCATACAAGATGTCAAATGAGTCTTTTCTTTGATCTTAACAAACACCGCCATGACTTTGTACTTTGGCGAAGGATCTCTCACGCTCTTTCTTACTGGCCCCATGATAGGGTTTTCTTACCTTTAAGTTATTCTGAATAGCAGTTCCAGTTAATATGATTCTGTTATGTGCTGGGATTTGGTGAAGACCTTTAGAGGATTTGTTGCTGGGATTCTTTATCTTGTGGCCTTCATCTAATATCACATAATCCTACAAGATTGATACAACAATTTATTGAATATCCAAAATATGGCTTTCATATGTGGGGGTATTGGTTTTATATACATGTATAATATTTAAAAAAAAGAAAATTCATGAAAAAAGACCGAACTTTGAAAATGGTTCTTGTGTAATCAATGGTATATTAAAACATTTAATTCAGAGAAAATACAAAAAAAGTTGCTGTTTACCCAGACAAATTCTCGACCATCTTTTTCACTAAGCTGCTTAAAGCTTGTGACAATCATGCCATATGATGTCATACAAACACCGCCACGACGTTGCACTTTGGCCAAGGATCTCTCGCGTTCTTTCTTACTGGCCCCGTGATAGGATGTCAACCTCAAACCTGGAGACCTAGAACATGGATAATGTTAACAGATTTATTATTAGTTTATTTTGTCAAACCAATTTCTCTAAAAAATGAATAATATCTCAAAAGTTACATCTAATCTTTGGGTTTGCCTGAGTATTTGAGTTGATTACAGCAAGAAAATTGAATTTAATATCATCAAATGGCAGGTGGTGAAAAATCTTATTTTTCATAATTTGTAATAACCAAACACAAGCATGTAACATCTACATGTACAGCCATTGAGAAATGTGACTAATTAAAATCAGTGTCTCGATGGTACCTTTTACATTTTAAGGTATGGAATAAAAATGAACAAAAGCATTAAAATGTTGGAGACTTTAACAATATGTAACCAATTCTGTTGGTGACAGTCTTGAAAATCAATTAACACTAAATCAATTGTGTTGCAGGAACAAATGCCTCACCATTTTTCAAATTCTTTCTCCCAGTTGAGCATGACAGCCACAGGAAGCACCAGGAGGACTGTCTTACACTGCTCAGCATCAAACATTCCAGAGAGGAATGCTATCACTTGGATAGTCTTACCCAAACTGAAATACAATTTCAAATTATTTATTTTTCTCCAAAATCAAACAGATCAATTCATTCATTATTGGAAAATAATTCACAAGTTTATCATTGCTTGGGTGTTCTTCCTGGATTTTTTCTCAAGTGGATGCAATATTATTTTTCAAACTTAACTAAAATTGCCAAAATAAGCTCTTTTTGTGTTTTTAAAAGGATGCAAATGGGTTTTCAATTGAGATTAATTATTGCATGGACCTAAACCGGGAACACCAACCCCAAAACCCCCAGGCTTACCCCATATCATCTCCTAAGATCCCTCCTCTCTTCTTTTTATTCAGTTTCCATAGCCAAAGAACGCCATCTTTTTGATGAGGATACAGTTTATCATAAAGGTCTTTGTACAAGTAGAATCCTTCACCAACATGTGTCATATCACTGTCCTCTGAGTTGTCTTCCCCAAATTCAGCCAAATATGCCTGGGAAAATGTATAAGTATAAGTTTACATGTATATAATATGGGCCTATTATCTCTCACATATCTCATACCTTTTGTTGTCATCTTCTACATTGTCATTTATCTTAGCTAGGTGTACTTAGACATCTCATCCTCATGTTTACACTTGACTTCAGTAAGAAGTTGTTAAAAAACTTATAACTTATAATTGACTTTGTAGAAAGTACAATGTAGATTTCATTCATGCTACAATCATGCAATTTTACTTTCAGACACCATGTATACATTTGTTTACATTTCTGATACAATACAAGATCAAGAATATCATTCTGCTTTTTCATAACTTATACATTTCTAAGCTTTGCACAAACCTCCATTTTAGCGATCCGTTTAGCTAACTTGTCTGAGGGGAACAACTTTATGGCCTCTTGATTGAGGGCAAGTGCTTTTGCAACATCACCCTTGCTTGCATATTCCTTGGCTTTTACTACCAGCTTGTTGAATCTCACCATAGATTTGTCAGATCCATCACTACTAGAATGTCTGTTAGTGTTTGTTGCATCTGAAACAATGCATAAATATGACACTGTGCTGCCACCTGCACATGGTGACAAGGATGTAACATGCTAGTGTTTGTTGCATCTGAAACAAGGCATAAATATGACACTGTGCTGCCACCTGCACATGGTGACAAGGATGTAACATGCTAGTGTTTGTTGCATCTGAAACAAGGCATAAATATGACACTGTGCTGCCACCTGCACATGGTGACAAGGATGTAACATGTTAGTGTTTGTTGCATCTGAAACAAGGCATAAATATGTCACAGTGCTGCCACCTGCACATGGTGACAAGGATGTAACATGTTAGTGTTTGTTGCATCTGAAACAAGGCATAAATATGTCACAGTGCTGCCACCTGCACATGGTGACAAGGATGTAACATGTTAGTGTTTGTTGCATCTGAAACAAGGCATAAATATGTCACAGTGCTGCCACCTGCACATGGTGACAAGGATGTAACATGTTAGTGTTTGTTGCATCTGAAACAAGGCATAAATATGTCACAGTGCTGCCACCTGCACATGGTGACAAGGATGTAACATGTTAGTGTTTGTTGCATCTGAAACAAGGCATAAATATGTCACAGTGCTGCCACCTGCACATGGTGACAAGGATGTAACATGTTAGTGTTTGTTGCATCTGAAACAAGGCATAAATATGACAAAGTGCTGCCACCTGCACATGGTGACAAGGATGTAACAATTGTTACAGATGTCAATGCTGACTGCCGAGGCTATGCAAAACTGAACAAAGTGACATCATAGGGTTCATACTCGGCTTTTAGACTCCAGAGATTCTATTTATGGTAAAACTCTTGAGAATATACACAAAACTGGATACAAACAAGGAATAGGGAGTCTGCTGAGAAACCTTTAAGAAATGTATATTGAGATTAAAATAGGAAGACAATCTTAAGTAGTATTTTGAAAAGTCTATTGATAGGATATCTCTGATCTCACATGGGGGAGGAGTAGTCACGAAACTGCAAAAATTCCAGGTTCTAAAAATTTCCTGGTGAGAACATCTTAACTCAATACATCTATACTCAATACATCTATACTCAATACTCACCACTCAATGGCTGCCTTTCAAATTCCATGATGCAAATTGTTTTCCTTTAGTTTGTTGTTGAAATGGCGGGTTCATCAAATAACACCATTCACACAAATTCTTGTGGATTAACACCTCATGTGTACTGGTGATTTGTTGGCTTATTCTTGATTGGTGGTATAACCAACTATTCGACTGTTTGAATTCCAGATTATGTTGATAAACCTGAAATATATCAATTTTTATAAAATTGTAACAAAATAAACCATTCTGATCATTCCTCTCCAAAATTATACAAAAATATATCAATCAGATATTTTTTCAATGAAAACTGTGGAAGTGTAGTTTTAAGGTAGCAATATACATAACATTATTTAGCCTAAAGTCTCATCTATCTGCCTCAGCAAATTTTTGATCCTGGCTCTGTACATTTACTATGTTATTATTCTATGCCTTCATTCTCAGACTGCTCTGATATTAGGGTTTGGTCTGTTAGCCCATATCCCAGTTTCAATATGCGTCTTTTAATTAAAAAAATATGCGTGACCCTTTACAGTTGACCAAAGTACCCAAGGATTCTATGCCTGGACATTGCAAGAAAAGTTTTCTCACCTAAAAAAATTCTCACCTAAAACGCTGAGTAATCACTTATTTTGTGCTTAAATAAACAACAATGGCAGAACGTCATCATTTAAGTGTATGATTTAATCAATTACTAACTATCATATAGTGGGTAAGTCTTAGTTTGGTCATATTTTTCATTGAAAATATGAATTCTGAAGCAGTTTGACCAGGTTTTGTTGTATTGATTTGACATATTCGTTAACTTCCATGGACTCTCATATGATAAGTTAAAGTTTGGTTATTTGGATGTATCTTGAACAAAACGGTTTTCAGTTGTGAATTTCACAACCAGTCTAGCTCTAGTAATTACATGCATTAATATATTTGAAGAGATCGGGTCTCCTAAAAACACAATTAGAGTAACCCCCTGATTTTTTCGTGTTATTTGATGTAAAACAAGTTTGTTTATCAACTTATCAATTCTGAGGCTTGAATTAATTCGTTAACAGTATCAATTCAATGATTGTTCCTAGCCATGAATTTCCACTTACATCAATAGAAATTCAAATTCAAATTTAAAAAGCCCGCTCAAATTTGTTCCAGTCTGATTGGCTTTTTCCTTCAGATTATTTTGACTTAGAGAAGCCATATTTATTACTTCTAAGGGGTTACAATATAGATAAATCCCCAAAAAACATTGTATTCTGTTTTCGACTTATTGTGTTCAATTCTGATAGTTGGTTGTTCTTTTGGTTGTCCTGTTGATATCCTCAATATATTGTCGATATCGTGCTTATGATTTGGTCTCAAGATATATCTAAGGTATATATGATGTTTTATGAGCAATTACATTGGGACATTACTGATTGTCCAGAATAGAAATCTGGACGACTCGATCTCTTTAAAAGATGTGTATCGAAACATGCATATTTACTTAAAAGATCATACATTCAGTAAAGGGTCATGTCAGATGCTAGCATAACTGTAAAGGTCATTTCAGGCATTTACTAAAACAGTCAATGAAAAGGTTTGAAATACATGTAATCTGACTAGGCCTGGGACATGCATATGGGAGTTGGGACTGTAGTGCTGATACATATTAATTGATAAGTCGTATAATTGGCATATTTTCTTGAATTTTAACATTTAATGTCCCAAACTCTCACAAACTGCAGAAAAATATACACCATAAATCATATTTACCAAAATGAGTGTCTCCAACACAGGCTGGTATCGAAATATTTGTCCGCTGTGACGGAGCATGCTATTTTTCACAAAAACACTAAGAATACTTCACGATTTATTTTTTAACTCATATGTTTCGTTATACCATACACAATTACTTACTCCATGCAATGGATATATCATTTGCGGGTAACTTTCACTTCTGTTTGAAGTCCAATTACGCTGGGAAGAAAAGCTATTGAAAATGGCGCCGGAGTATCATACTTCAAAATGTACCATTTCTTGTTTAACTTTCTAATGGCACGATATAGTGACACGATAATATTTACACATGGTCTCGTCATAACTATGAAGGTATAAATGAGATGTTGATGTATTTGGTCTTTTTAATTATTTTATAAAAAATAATGTTTAATTTTTTTGTCCGCTCTGACGGAGCAGTTGCAAATGTGAACTGTGAAAATGCTCTGTCACAGCGGACAAAAAATATTAATATTGTTTTTTATAAAAGAATTAAAAAGACCCAATGCATTAATATCTCATTAATACATTCAGAGTTATGCTTAAAACATATGTTAATATTGTCGTGTCACTATATCATGCCATTAAAAAGTTAAAAAAGAAATGGTACATTTTAGAGTTTGATACTCTGGCGCCGTTTTCAATAGATTTTACTCCTAGCGTTATTGGACTTCAAAGAGAAATGAAGGTTACACGCAAATGATATATCCATTGCATGGAGTAAGTAATTATCTTTGATATAACGAAACATATGAGTTAAAAAATAAATCGTGGAGCATTCTTAGTGTTTTTATGAAAAATAGCATGCTCCGTCACAGCGGACAAATTTTTCGATACCAGCCTGTGTCCAAGGCTTCACAAAAGTGTATGCATAATGCATTTGTCACGAGTTTGAGCTGAAATTTCGCCAAAGTGAAGTAGGCTGAGGGTAGTCTCTGCCAGGTTTGTTTATTGTGGTAAGTGCTCAGAAGCAAATAATTTATGTGCATTTATGTATTTATGTGCATTTATGTATTTATCAAATAATCTGATTGGTTTGAACTTTACTGCACATGCGCACAGTGTGTGCCATGTTTTTTTCTAGTGATTTCGTTTCGTTTCATGGAGTTTCTGCGTTTCAGTGTAACTTCCACAAAAATGGCGGACCACTGACAGAATTGACAGGTAAAATCACTTCGAAATTTCAAGAGAACTTTTTACCAATAATAGCAAAACTTTTGTTTTATTTGTGCATTCTATCCATCAGATAAGAGGGGGTGTAGGTACAAAAAATTTCGAACAGAATGCATGACATATACGTGATTCGCGTGAAAAGTCCGCCTGGAATGCATACGTTTTTTGTCGGCGTTCGTATCTTTGCTGTATCGACCAACTGTTTTAGAAATTTTTCCTACAGAAATATTTTTGCTTGACAATTACCAACTTAGGAGCGTATTTGCATGACATTATCTGTCATGCAAAAAAAACTGGTGTGACTTCAAATTCTTCAGCAAATGCGTGACAAGTGCGCAAATTGCGGGACAGCACTGCACTGTAGATATCGATTCCCATGTCTGAACCTAATAGTTCAGATTTGAATGATGGTTCAGATACAAGAATTGCAGATTATTGACATAGACATAGACATGTGGGACTGGGATGAAGTTTAGTTTCAAGTTTGAAAAAAATACCAAAAAAGAGAGCAAAGGAGTATTTCAACACTTAAATACTGACTCACACACATGATCGAGACGAAGCTGTCAAGCCAACTTGGTTTTTATATATTCTCGATTTGAAATAGTCATTTGCCATGCATACATGTAGAGAATTAAGTTCAAAATAAACGAATAGGCAAGGAAATAAACTACTTACCGTCTTCAATTTTTGCGCCTTATTGGGGTTATTTCGTCCAGTGCAACCTCCAAATCAATGACGTCACGTAATTCTGTGTACACAATCAGTTTCTCTGAAAAATCTAAAAAGTTTTTAAAAGTGATTATTTTGCATTATATCGGTGACAATGGGCCACAAATAGCGAAATAGATATCACCAACACTGCCACTAGTCTAGACTTCCACCAGGAAGTAATATTCAATCATGACATCCCAAGACAATGCTACATGCAATTTCAGGTAAATAAAATTTACTTTTGTTTTGATTTTACATTTTGTCATGAGTCACAGTGTGACTGCAGGTTCAAGCTTATAGTTAAAATTCCAATTTAGGACCAATATAAAGTTTCATCTCATTGTTAGGGGATCACCTTATTGTACTGACGCGCATTATACCGAAACCAGAGCTGTCAAGTGTCCCGCGAATGGCGGGATTATCCCGCGAATTCGATCAAAATTAGGCTAATTCGCGTGTCCCGCAATGTCCCGCGAAGTCCCGCAAATGTGGCTTTTGACCTCCGCGAATTTCCGAAATTGTTGCAATCCCCTATATTGTGATTAGACTATCTAATCTTATATAAGAAGCTTTTTTGCACTTTTGAGGAGTAAAGTTTACCTAATTTTAAGTACCTAGCATGCTGTTGTTTGGTATCAAAATAAAGAGGAAGGGTTCAACTTTCATTTTAATTACGACAATAGGGATGTAGGTCACAAATAGTTCCAACGTTGGCCTTTTTACTATCCGTGTGGCCTTCATCTCAGAACTGAGCAAATGTTAGCAAACGTGAGTTACAATAAATGGACGCTGATATCTAGAAAGGGTTTGTAGAAAAAACCGGGTACCGGGTAGTAAATCCTCCATGCTGGGTTCAAACTGCAGGCCTGTCAACTGTCCCGCAATTTGCGTATTTGTCACGCATTTGCTGAAGAATTTGAAGTCACGCCAGTTATTTTTGCGTGACAGAAAATGTCACGCAAATACGCATTTTACCTGGTAATTGTCAAGCAAAAATATTTCTGTAGAAAAATTTCTAAAAAAGATCGTCTACATAGCAAAAATAAGAACGCCGGAAAAAAATGTACGCATTTCGTTCGGACTTTTCACGCGAATTACGTATATGTCACGCATTCCGTTCGAAATCTTTCGTACCTCACCCCCACCCCCCAAAAATGTGTGTAACATCCTTCAAAATTGAGCTAGAAGCTTCAAATAAAAAGCATATTTTAAGGCTCTTTTCTTCCTCTATCGTCATGACCATATTTTTATTGGTTATGGGGGGGGTGCGATTGCACCCTCTCCTGGCTACGCCTATGACATTGTAAGACATAACAATTTAGTGGACAATTCAGTGGACATTTTGTCGACAGTTGGGATAACTTAAATTATGATTAATAATCAAAATCTTACACATTGCATCATGTAAATGAACACACGTCACCTCTCTGCTAAAGCAACGATAGCAATTTACAGATTTAAATCATAATCAAAACAATTCACGTACCAACATACGAACTATTGAAAATAGAGTAAAATTGATTTGCCTTGTTATTCAAATCGTCTTACAATGTCATTGGCGTAGCCAGGAGAGGATGTGATGGTGCGATCGCACCCCCCCCCCTCCCCCTTCATTACCAATGGAAATATGACCATGGTGATAGAGGAAGAAAAGAGGCTTAAAATGCTTTTTATTTGAAGCTTCTATCTCAATTTTGAAGGAAGTTACATACATTTTTGTAAATTCAAAACAAATCTTACACGTTTTCTAATGATCTAATTATGTTGTATATTCGTATATTTCGTTTTTTGGGTACCCGGTTTTTTCGACCGGGTACCAAGTTTGAACCCAGCATTGAGGATTTACTACCCGGTACCCAGTTTTTTCTACAAACCCTATCTAGAAAAGTAACCTCATTCCCTATAATTTGATGTAGATTAATCGAAACCCTATACCATGGGCTTTCAATTGAAATAATATTTCTATGCGTATTTTGTGAAGTTATGTTGACGTTTATTTAAGTTACAATGTAACGGTGCATGGGTGCACCCCAGTTGTCCGAAACCCAGTTGTCCGAAACCCAGTTGTCCGAAACCCAGTTGTCCGAAACCCAGTTCTCCGAAACCCATTTTTCCGAAACCCAGTTCTCCGAAACCCAGTTGTCCGAAACCCAGTTGTCCGAAAAATTTAGTCATAATTTACCAGATAAAGGGGGACGCACCTCAAGCCAGTTTCATTTCATGTATTTGGCAATTAATGGCATGGACGCATTCTGATGTATAGATCTCTCTCTCACTTTGAATTGCATCCATTACACGGCGTTACCAGAATGACAGGAACGGGGGATTTATTTTACATTGTGATTCTAAAAAAGGTCATCAAAACACAATATATATTACGGAACAGTTGATCTTATCTTATTCAATACATTTTATATAGGCAAAATAAAATGGCACATTTTGAAACCGATAAAATAAGTTAACGCATAAAACTTTAAGAATAAACAGTACACATATTACGTTGTCAAAATGTTTCGTCGCATTTAATTTCTTAGTCTCTGTCTCTTATCAAATCGTAAAATGTAAAAGAACAAAACATTCTAAACGTAATCACTTGGGATTAACTGGAAACGAAGACAGGCTGTCCTCGTATCAAATAGGATTGTTTCTAAATAGCAGAAAAATCAATGAAATGCTGTGCTGCCATCTTTTAATCAGCTTTTAACTCGGGCTAGAGCTCCATTCACTTACATGCTAAAATCTTGGAAAAGTGGCTTAGTTTCATGATTTATCAAAGTGTGTTTGTTGAATCTGTATAAAATTTGAATGATATACCACATGATGACCCTGTTTATATACATGTTGTGATTAAACATGCAAATGTTGATTGACATTCAAATAATCCACGGTTTTAAAGAATTTTAGCATTTCATCTATGGACATTTGGCCCAAGTTTTTTTAAATTGTCATAGAAAATTATTCAAATTACATAACTGTGTAAATCACAGCTATATAGGGAGAAAACATTTCACTGAATTCAAATATACCATTTAAAAGAAGGTAATGTAAGTCATTAGAGGTCTAATATGCAAGTCTCTTAAAATCTCACGAAAAACGAGATTTAGCGAGATTTCAAAAGCTTTATGGAAACTATACTATTGGATGTTCTCCCATTCGCAAGAAGTTTCATTTTCGCCATGTACTCACTTCATCTTTTTGAATTTAATCTCTATTTCTCGAACAGAGTACCTAAATGAAGAATAATTTTTGGTTTCAAAAGATGTACACGACGTCAACTTTACTAAATAAATGCCCACTGGCTTGGGAAAACTATTTCCCTTTATGAACGCCCATCACGCATTGGAAAAATGTTGTTCCCTCTCAAAAAGCCCCATGGGGCATAAAGAAAATTGGTTTAAAAATTGTAGACCCCTTATGTGAATATGTAAACGCCACTTTGCAATGAGAATAGCATAATTTAACTTTGTTTATTTGAAGATCTGTATCACCTGTATTTTCATCTTTCGACAGTTTTTATTAGGCTAAATACTAGGCCATGGAGGAATCGTTCAGTTGATATTTACTCTCAAATACACCCTTTACCAATGAAAGAGTGCTCGTTCATAGAGCTAGATGGATTGGAGTGAAATATGTCAAGTGGAACATTTCAGAGTGCCAAGACCAACTCATTAATGTTAAATGGACCTCTATAAGTGGGATACCTCCCATCCCACTTCATCCATTAACGATTAAGGCATTAACATTTACATTGTTACAGCCTGCCATTTGTTACAAACACCGGGTACTGACCCCTTAAATATAGGGTCTGAAGCTCAAATCTAGGGTCAAACGGATGGCAGAATATATAACTGTTAAGCAATCTTTGCCATTTCAATATATAGTTAAAATATTTAGTGAGGCAAGCAGATGTATGTATAATGTTAATACAAATGTAAGTTTAAGGTTTTATGACTGTAAATTGAAGCATTATAGATTTTTGGATAAACATGCAAGTCCTAGAGACATATATTCAATCTTGCTGGAACTTATAGCAACTAAACATATTTGGAATCATTTTGAATTAATCTTTGTGAAATTCAAAATAGTCAAATGCTGTTTCAACATACTTGGATTCTTTTAAAGCAATCCAAAAATAAAAAGTGGCCAATTTCAAATACAAACTTTTACATTACATTCTACCATGCAAACAATTACTTCCAGGGGCGGATCTGGGAACAAACAAGGGGGGCAAATTCAGGTCAGAGAAAAAACTTCCCTAAAACCCAAAAGTTGGCCAAAATTTTGAAATTTTGAGGACCGTTTTCTTAAAAATTTGGCCTGAAATTGAAAAATAAGGCCTTAAAAGGCCCAGTATTGACCAAAAGGGCCTTTTTAGGGTTTTTTCTGGGTTCGCCAGTGACTCCTAAGATCATGATGGAAACTAATTGTTAATGACAAGTGTGATATTTTCAGACAAGTAGAATCAGGCCCGTAGCCAGGATTTTCCAAGGGGGGGTTCAGTTTTCAAAAATTCGCAGGGGGGTTCACATTTGACAATTTAGGCCCAAGTAAAGTCAAAATCACTTGAAAAGTGCTAAAAATGGTGAAAACTGCATGATTTTGAAAGAATTTTTGGCCAGGGGGGGGGGTGCCAACCCCCCCCCCCCCCTGGCTACGGGCCTGAGAATACTATAAACATTTGTTCTTTCAATATCATAGAGTAGACCCACTTGAAAATTATATTTAAGATGATTTTAAAATTGAATTAAGCTTGAAAAAGTATAAAACTCTTGTCTTTGGCTATAAGGTACAAGACACTAAGTATACTTATTTTGATGAATGGTTAAACTACTTATGTTACATTATATTTGTAAACTTTTGTAATAATGTTTTAAATAATTGCAATTGTATCTATTTAAAAAAAATATTGCAATATTGTAAAATGACCTGATGTATACAAAGTTATAAAACAAGAAATATACAGGGTGGGCCAAAAAAAAACGCCACTTTTTTTCAAGACACTACAACTTTTTTATTTTCCAACCTACATACCTCAAATTTTGCAGTTATATAGTGCCAAGGGTTTTCAGCAATAATATAATGTAACCAGTCATTCAACTTGGATTATATTTAATCTAAAAGGGGAGTTCAATTGGTCCGCCACCCTAATTGATGATATATTTCAGATTTAGTCGCCTTGCTGATATTGCAGTATCAATGAAATGTTAGCTAAGTTTTTTCCAAT